TGATAAATTATATCAAACAATTAAAGCAGAAAAAAGAAGGAACACTTCTCCCCTCATTTTAGGAACTCAACATTGTGCTACTCCTAAAACTGGATAACGATAATAGAAGAAAAAAGTATGAACATAGAGAGAAATTTGTTTAACAAAACAAAGTATTAGAAGTCAGATCTGGCAGGATGTAGAAAGCGGTTTTGTTATAGGGATGGCAGTGTTGGTTCAGCATTGGAAGGAAGATCCACCCCCAAAAATCATCATTTTAACAGAGGAAAGGAAAAAGCCTACAAAATACTTTTTAAAGAAATTAAAGACAATGTATAAATGGAAAGACACACCATGCTCATAGATTAGAAGATTTATATTAAGATGTCAGTACTACCCAAAGCTATATATAGGTTTACTGTAATCACTATCAGTATATTAGTGACCTTTTTTCAATCCTAAATTTATATGGAATCTTAAGAGACCCCAAATAGCTAAAACGAGCTTGGAAAGAACAAAGTTGGCAGATTCACACAACGCCTGATTTCAAAGTTTATTACAAACTAGTAATTAAAACGGTGTGATATTAACATAAAGATAGAAATATAGACCAATGGAATGGATTAGAATCTCAGAAATAAACCTTCATAGGGCTGGGGATTTAGCTCAGTGGTTCTGGTGCCTGCCTCGCAAGCGCAAGGACCCGAGTTCGATCCCTGGTAGCCAAAAAAAAAAAAAAGAAAGAAAAGAAATAAGTCAAAATGATCATGACCTTGTATTTGGCCATGCTTTCTTGAAGTATGACACTAAAAGAAGAGAGAACAAAAGAAAAAATAGATAAATTGGACTTCATCAAAATTAAAAGCTTTTTTATTTCAAAAGACATTATCAACAAACTAAAAATGCAACCCACAGAATGGGGGAAATATTTGTAAACCACATATCTGACAAGGAATTGACATCCAGAATACTATATTTAAAGGACACCTAAAACTGAACAGCAAAACAAGTAGATTTAAAAATAATCAAGAGACTTGGGTGTTTCTCCAAAGTTATACAAATAGCCAAAAAGCACATGAAAACAGTATTCATCACTAATACTTCACACTCATTAGGTTGGCTATTATAAAAGCACTGAAAATAACAAATATCAGCAAATATGTGGAGAAACTGGAACTCTTTTGCCTGGCAGTGGGAATGTAGAAAACTATAGGTGGAATTCCTCAAAAATTAAAAATAGAATTACTATATTATACTGCAATTTCATTTCTGGCATATACCCAAAAGAAGTGAAAACAGGGGTATGAGAGATATCCCTACACCCATGTTTATAACAGCTAATAATGGTAATATGCCAAAAGGCAGAAAAAACCAAAGTGTCCATTTATGGGTCAATGATAAAATGTGGTATATAAATATCGTGGAATATTATTCACCCTTAAAGAGGAAGGAAATTATAACACATCCTGTAACGTGGATGAAACTTGACATTAAGTGAAATAAGCCAGTCACAAATGGACAAATACTGTATGATTTTACTCACATGAAGCACCTACTCAAATTCACAGAAAGCAGAATGGAGGGTGGCAGGGGCTGAGGAAAGAGAATGACATATAAAACTTGTATTTACTGTATTGAAGGTGTCCAATTTTTGTTCAATACTGTGTTGAAAGTGTCCCATTTTTTATATACCTCCATATTGTGAAATAATCACCAGAATCAAGCTAATTAACATATCCCTCACACCACAGATACTTCTTTTGTGTTGAGAACCCTTAAGATCTACCCTCTTATTGAATGTTAAGTATACTATATACTATTGTTATTAACTATAGTCACATTGCTGTAGGTACGTTAGATCTCCAGAACTTATCATCTGCATAACTGAAATTTCATATCCTTTGACCAACATCTCCCCATTTTTCCCTCTCCCTAACCCCTGATAATCACCATTCTACTCGGCTTCTGAGTTTGAGTGTTTTACATTTCACATGTGAGAGATCATGCAATATCTTTCTGCATCTAGGTTGTTTCACTTAGTATAACGTCCTCCATCTTTACCCATTTTGTCATAAATGTCGAGATGTATCTTTAGACTGAATAGTATCCCATTGTACAAATAATCTGTATTTTATTTATCTATTCATCTTATTGATGGACAATTAGGTTATTTCCATATCTTGACTACTATAAAAAATGCTGTAACAAATAGGTGAATACATACATCTCTTCAACATATTGATTTCATTTTCTTTGGCATATATCCTATATGGGATTGCTGGATTATATGGTAGTTGTATTTTCACTTTTCTAAGGAATTTCCATACAGTTTTCCATAATGGCTGTACTAATTCATATTTTCACCAACATTGTACAGGGTTCTCTTTTCTCCACATCATTGTCAACATTTGTTATCTTTCTTCTTTTTATAACAGTCATTCAGACAGGTGTGAGCTAATGTTCCAATGTGGCTTTAATTTTCATCTCCCTAATGATTAGTGGTATTGAGCACCTTTTCATATACCTGTTGGCTACTGTGTGTCTTCTTTTGAGAGATGTCTATTTAGATACTTGGCCCACTTTTTAATGGGGTAGTTTTCTTGCTATTGAGTTAGTTGAGTTCCTTATTTTGGGATAATCTCAGAAGTGCTATTTGCAAATGTTTTCTGTCATCCTATAGGTATCTCTTCATTCTGTTTTCTTTGGTGTGCTAAAGCTTTTTATTCTGATGTAGCCCCACTTACTTATTTTTGCCTTTATTGCCTACACTGGTGTTATATCCAAAAAATCATTGCCTGGGCCAATGTCGAAAAACTTTGCCCCTATGTTTCACTCTAGTCATTTTGTGGTTTCAGTTCTTAATCCATTCAGAGTTTGTTTTACAAGTTCAAAAAGTTCTAGATTTAGGGCTGGGGATTTAGCTCAGTGGTTCTGCTGCCTGCTTCGCAAGCGCAAGAATCTGAGTTCGATCCCCGGCACCAAAAAAAACAGTTCTAGATTTAGACTGAGGTACTAATTGCACAACAATGTGATGTACTTAACGCCCTTGAACTGTACTTAAAAATTATTAAAATAAAAACCATTGTAATATACATTTTATCACAATTTTTTAAAAGAACAAGCAAAAAGAGTTTAAGACTGGTATTAAAGTTTTATGTTGTTTAGCCTATTTAATATATATTCTGTGTTTATCTTATTTTCCAAATCCTATACCATTCAGTTCTAATTTTTCCCAGATTTTTTCTAATTCTAAATTAATGTCACTTTCTCTCTGGATCCCAAGAGCTATAACTGTCTGACTGAGTTTATTTGACAATTTCATGTTCTGCCTGTTGCCTTGAAGATTTAAATATCTGTGCTTATAAATATTAATATTTGAATCTTATTTGAGGGAAATGACAATATTTAATTCTTAGTGTCAACCAGGAGGACAGTCTCTAGAGCTTGTGCATAGGTTTCATTAATAATGTATTCTTAAATATTCCATTTTTATCTCATTTCACTGCTTCTCTCACATGATAGGTCCCAGGCTTGCCTTCTTTGGGCTCCTTCAAATTAATAGAGATTAGGGAACACAATGTGGCGCTGGATTTCTTCAAAGGCCAAGGGCCACTGGGTGGACAGGGGATTAAGACCACTAGGGAATCAGTGAACCAGAAAGTATTAGGAAGCATTTCACTGCACACTGGGTCAAAAGATGTGTGTGTTTTAGAGGAAAGCTTGGCCTGAGTCATACCCATGCCATCTCTCATTCCCTGGCTTAGGACGGCATCACCACTCTGCCTGTCCGGCAGTCTTCATCAGCCTGAGTGATCACAGAGTGGGCCAAAGAATAGATCATTGATCTTCTGGCTTCCTCAAAGGTTGCGTTTATTAAATGCTGACATTCACCACAGTCACTCCTTTAGCAGAAAATACAATGAAAGCGTTAACCCAGAGAACAATCAGCTCCAGTCCCAAAACCACACATCACTGTTTCGCCTTACCCTTTAGGATGCGTTCTTTATAGAAAGGCTGGACCAGAATGGTACTCCTGACAGCCTCAATATTCCTTCTATGTGCCTTCTTGACCACTCCACAGCATCACTACTCTTAGGCACAGAGAGGAAGAAGAGGGTGATGTGTGGCTACTTCTGCTTGAATGACATTCTATAAGGGGATGTCGGATGGATTGGATTCTTTGGCAGGTTCTAATACGGGTGTCTTTGGGTGTATTTCAGGATAGGGGGCCTCTGTGAAGGGCACTGTTAGTTCATCTGCCTTCGTGGTGAGTAATGTAGATTGAGGGGCAGCTTCACCAGCAGGCCCCCAGTTGGTGGGTACTTGGCTGTCTTCAAAGTCTGTGGTGGGCATCAGTGGTCCAACGGTGTTCTGAGTGATCTTAATAGACCCTGGTTTCTTCTTGAGGTGTTCTTCAAAATGGGAAGTGTGTGAGAGTTTCCTTCTGCTACCAGGTAAAGCTGGAGTCCAAGGACTTTCTCCAACTCGGGGAGGAGACTTTTTAGGTAAGTGTGAAGCTTCTTGACTTTCACTTTGTTCCACAGAGAGGCTTAAACTTTGAGAATCTATGGGACAGAAAAGACACAAATGCAGATTCCTCAAACAGCACTTCTCCAATCCTGCCAGTCACGTGTGAAATCCAAGTCATCTCAAATGTTAGCACCTCACTTACCTTCTCAGGATCTTTCCGGTATGCTCTCCCCACCTCCCTCAGACTTCATTATGGCCCTACAATTCAGGTTGCAGCTGGGGCTTAATTGTCTGGTTGAGGCTCTAGCTTACCATGGAAGCCTCAGAAGCTAAGGACTCGCATTTGTCTAAAGTTCATGTGTTTCACAGCCATTGGTTATAAAACAGTTAAACATAAAAATGAACATTAGCTTGAAACATTATAAAGACAGAGACTTTGTCTTGCTTGGTGCTGTATACACAGTGCTCAGAAGTGTCTGTCACATATTAAGTGCTGAATAAATAACTATTGTCCAATTGATAGAAAAATAGATAGTAGATACTTCTAGGAAATTGAGACCAAGCCTCTTATCAAAGAATTAAAAACTAGATGATATACAAAAACAAGATAACATCTTAAAATTATCAAACAGTTTACAATATGGTGAGGAACTGTGGGGCCAAAATTCTAGAAAAAATAAGAATCCAAAGAAGCCCAGAACTCAGAAGTTACTTTTGCCCACAGTATATTTCAATCTGGAAGAAACAGCAGCATACATAACTTCATTTTCTGTAACTTCACAGGAGAAAAGAGGACTTTCATCGGACTTGAACTGAATTTGTATGTAGGTCAATTTAATGATAACTAATATTTTTATGATATTAGGTTTATATACTCCAATTATTTGGGTCTTCTTTCTCAGTAAAGTTTATACTTTCCAGTAACCAACCATATCACTTCCTTTGAGAGGAATTACTGATTAGTCTAGTCACATGCTACTATAACTACCCTTGTTCTTTTTGGCTTACTATTTGCATGGAATGTGTTTTCATCTTACCACTTTCAATCTGTTTGTGTCTTGGGATCTAAAGCAAGTCTCTTATAGCTAGCATATAGAGCAGTTTGATCATGCTTTGTAAACCCACTCTGCCAATCTCTGTATTTGGGAGGGGTTTTTTTTTTACATTTTTATTGGTACATTTTAGCTATACAATATAATGACATTCATTATTGGAAATTTGCACCTTTACATAATCTCTCTTGGTTCTTATGTTTTCCCCATTCCCATGCCCTCCATTCAACCCCTCCACCTCCCCCTATTTACAAAGGCTTTGTTTCCATTTTTTCCTTTTCTCATATTAACTCCATTCCCTTCTTTCCCCTACTCTTCCCACTTCCCCTTCCAATTTGCACCTTTTCTTCCTATTTCACATTATCTGTTATACCTTTTAGTCCTTATTTACACTTTCAGATTCTCATACTAGAGGAACTATTTGGTATTTACACATGTGTGTCCTATTTATTTCACTTAAGAGTATTGCCTCAATGTGCATCCATTTAGCTATAAAT